ACTGCATCTCATGACGAAGAAAAAACATAAAATATTGGCTTCTTATCGAGCAAAGTCCATCCGCACGGGGATACTCATTGGAATGGCAGTCTTCGATGAGCTGACACAGTTACAGTGGGTGAACACACAAAACACATTTTATGATTCTTTCAGTGTCATACAGAGATAGATCATTGTCTACTACTATAAGATGTGTATATCACAAACCTATACGGGCATTGGGGTATTGGCGAGTAACGAATTGCTCTAAGGTACCCTCTCAATAGTGTTTCTCTCACTTTTCTTATCGTGATAATTGCTAGTAACGTTGCATGTTTCACGTTTAAGAACTACCCCGTGGGACATCCTTTTAAAGACCAAATGGAGGCATTTTCTCGGTGTGTCCAATGATTGAAGCGGGAGCTCTACGCGTATCAGCGGCCTGAGCTATCGTCGCTCGTGTCATTGAGGCACATGTGCCGGATCCTCGGAGGAGGCTACTTCCTAGTGCACGACAACCCAAGAGAGGGATCCGCCTATTGGATTCATCCCTGCTTGTCATTTCCCAGTGTTCCCCCCAACAGGCTTCCCACTTCTTTGAAAAGCACTGGCTCGATCGCACTCACACAACTGGCAGCAACAACACCAAGCGGCTAGCCTCAGTCGATCGATCGATCGATCGCTGCTACTGCTACTACATATACTACTACCACTACTACTGTTACGACGAGGTAAGCCTTTTATCAAGTGTCAAGTGTGGCATTATTGAAAACGCAACACCGACTTCTCTCCCTCATTGAATTCATCCCCATGATAAAATCCAAGCTTGACCGACAATATATAGTTTATCAATGGGTAGGCCGATCCGCCGAACACCTACTATCAAGCCGACCGTCTCCGATGCACAACGGAAAACCACGCCTCTTTCAATTCTATAGACCATGACAGCCATGTCTTGGCCGCTGACAGTCAAGTTGGAGATTGGAGAAATAGGAGTAAGTCACCAGTTGTCTGCAATTCAGCACAGAAAACAATTAAACCTCATACCATGCAATGCTGACGGCCGAGGAAAAATACCATTGTCGCGTCCTTTTTGAACCATCGATCGCTCCGGATGACAAGAAGAGGAGAAGTTGCTGTGGATCGATCCCTACTACTGTTAAGTTCAGCTCTATCACGAGCCTGAAAATAGATCGCCGTCGAGTCATCAGGCAGAAGGCAACAGTCGACAGCAGGATACACCACAACTCGCACGAACAGAGGAGAGTGGATCCTCCTATCGGATTCATCCCTCCTTGTTATGTCCTAGTAGTGTTCAGTTGGTGATCCCTCTGCCGGTACCCAGTTTCCAGTAGTGCACACAAGTCCACGACGAGCGACTTGGGGGATAGTCGCACCGTACCGGTACGGTAGGAAGATCAATAGCTCGTAGCTCAGTCCGTAAGATAGAATATGGATTCCTACCAATTGAATAGACCATACCCATTTCAATAGGAGAGTCCTTATCGATTCAATAGGAAAATGTTATCCTGGTTTGATAACCTTCCTTTGTAGGCAGGTAAGGATGGTTGGATACTCGTGAAGGTACCGGTAGGATGGATAGAGATCCACAACCACCCATTGACTGACATGGGAATCATGGCTCCGACCTCAGTGTACAAATCCTTAGATAGCTATAACAGTCATCGCACCCTCTCAGGAGGCCAGTGTGGCCGGTGAGCAGACTTGACTGTGGGAAATACCCGGGCCTCGGCTCGTGGGTCGTCCTCAAGCACATCTCGTCTGAATCCGTTATTAGATGTTCAGTTTTTTTGACTGACATGGGAAGTCGGTAACCTATCACCCTCCCTTTCCGCGCTGGTATGTCATACCTTTACTAGATGAAATCTCTCAAAATTCTAACAATCTTCATAATCGGACAACACAAATTCATTCCTAGCTTTTAGCTTAGACTAGTGCAGCTGCCGTGACCTTGGTGCCTACATCACTTCTCCTCAGAAAGAGTTTCCACGGACCATTTTCTGAGCCAAACACTTTTGCTCCAGCTGAGGCATAGCATCCTGGATGCAACAATCCAGACACATAGGTGTCATCAATGGCAAGCCCATTGCGATCAACATAGTGTCCGCTAACATGGGAGTTGTCCACAATGACGCTGCCTTCAAAGTGAAGTTTGCTGTACTCATACAGAGCATTTCCAAAGTACCAGAGGTCACCATCCACCTCAGCTCCCATCATGCGAGCATAGTAGGCAAACATGGGTGTTCCATAGAGAAGCAAAACAAGCCAATTTCCCACGTTGAATAACCAAACATGGTTGATGTAGATGCCAAAGAAACTCTGCTGGGCACGACCTGGAAGGATCAACAGCAACCTTTCAACAAGTCGGGTCAAAAGAACCCACAGGAACAATTGAAGGACAATGGCTGCATCCAGCCCACATGCAGTAATGGCAATGGAAGAACTTTCTGTGGCAGCAAGGCCAATCTCATAGGTAGGAATGAAAGAGGCAAAAATCACCACATTGAGAAGAAGCTGCAACACTTCAGGAAGGAATAAATCCATAATCAAATATGTAGGCTTCTGCAACTTGTTGGATTGGTTCAAGTTGTAGACATTGTCCGACACATCAGATCTTGGTGGGATCATTGATTTCATGATCTTGACACCAGCATGGAGATTGACATTATATCCAATGCTGCTGTTGATTATCTCAATCTTGGAGTCCCCACATTTGCTCAAGTCAAGAGAACTGGTTGCAACAAAGGACTTGCCAACCTTCACAAAATCAACCTTGGAAGGGAAGAAGACACAGTATGGGCTGCTGAGGTCTGATTCAATATCAACATCCAGGCCATGAAGGTAAAGGATGACGGTCCATAGTCTGGACTGGCCAAAGAAAGGAGCAAGAGTCCAAGCAGCAACACGGAAGTGGAAGTCACAAGCCCAATTTGTTGCCCGGCGGTAGAGTGAACCTTCATATTCATCTAATGGATCTCGTTTACCAATCAGAATCCATTTGAGGGCAATGCTTGTGAGGAGGGCAAGGAAGGATGTCAATGGAAACAACAGAAACCAATGAAGAATGCCACCATATCGCCATGAGGGCAGGACTCCGTTGAGTGCAAAATGGACCAAGGAGGAAAGTGCGAAAAAGTGGTATGCCTCAGAGATGGCCCAGACCATCTTGAAGACATCCAACACTGACTCTGCGAAAAAGTTTGATTCTTGATGCTGATGAAATGGGCCAGCATTATATGCTGGAAATCCTCTAGCAAGGACACCATTTGGTACTAAGGCTCCTTCATCAACAGCAGATAGTTTCTCCACTTTGCTGCCATCTCCAATCTTCGCTCCAGGGCCGATCATGCCAAAGACCTTGCAGTTCTTTCCAACAACAATGGGATAGAATGTCATCTTAGGGCTTGCCTCTTCTTTTGACTGGGAGAACTTTCTGCACTTCAAAGGATGTGCAATTGTTGCGTTGCTGCCCACCTTCACCAGGTCAAATTCACGGATATAGGATTCAATCTTTGCAGACCAAGCCAGGTCAGCACCAAGCAGCCAGTAGAATATCCAAATGTACTTGGTTTCTAGAAGGAATTGTCCAACAATAGACTCCCAGACTTCCACGAGCCTGTCCACAAACCACCAACGGATGTAATCCCATGATAGGAGCTCCATTTGTTGCTTTTTATATGTGCCAATGACAACAAACTTGAAGAAGGCCACATCCAGTGAGAATGATAGGAGAAAGAGAGGAAAGATCATGGGCATCAGGCCCCAAATTATCTGGCACTCTCCATCTTCAGCTGAGGCACATTCGTTCAGTACCCAGGATACTAGGAAGTAGGACGGAACAGCTGAGATCAAAACTAAGAGAAGGATCAGAGCTGATCCAAGGGATTGGATAACTCCAAGTTGTACCTTGCTCAGCGTAGATACAGATGAGTTGCTTGGAAAGTCAGGGTCATCATAGAGATTTTGCATAGGAAAGCACTTTCCCTCAGATGAGGCCAGGAACTCATGGAGCTCCAATGGTGTTGTATAGAGCTGCTCAAAGTTCACTGGAAGCACTACATGGAACTCCTCCTCCACACTGTTCCTCAGCTCCGCGCTCTTGAGTGATGTAATTCCATTCTCAGCCCATGACTTAGATGTGTCAACCTCTGAACCAAAGATGGAGATGACCAAGCTTTGGAAGTCCTTGGGTGAATTTGTAGAGGGGGGATTCAGACCTCCTGAAGATTCAAAATCTATTGCCTCTGTGATGCCACTGCAAGGTTGTTCCATGAGGTTCCCTTTGGAGCTTTTCTTTAAGACCCCTTCCTTTTCCACTGGAATGGCACCATCATGTCGCTGAAACCTTAGGATCACAGAAGATGGCTTCCAATCACCAGCAACAGTGGTTTGCCGCACCTCGCTCCTCTTCAGCTTGCCTGATGTGGTCTTTGGTGTCGCACCTGATTTGAGAACAGCAACCTCTGAGACAAACAGCCCATGTACTTGGGAGACGTGGTTTGCTATCTGAACAGCCAAATCTTTGTTGGCAGACTTGTCAAAATCCTTTCTCGGCTCACAAGTAATGCCCACACTGTCTTCTCTGTACTGAAAGGCAGTTGTTCTTCCTGGACGGACAATATGACCAAATGATGCATCAATGGAATGCTCCACATCCGTTGGATAATAGTTTTTGCCATTGATGATGATGACATCTTTGATTCTACCTGTGATGTACAGCTGCCCATCAACAATCTTTCCCAAATCGCCAGTGTCAAGCCAGGTGCCATCATAGCCCGGCAATGCATTGGAAAATGTGGATTTGGTCAGCTCTGGCTGGCCATAATAACCAACTGCCACACGTGGCGATTGAGCCCAGATACTTCCAACTTGCCCATCCTCCACCTCTTGTCCATCCTGTACAATGCGAAGCTTGAGCGTAGGTGAATCTACTTCTCCACAGCAGACAAGACCTTCAGGGTCTGGCTTTGCTGTCCCACCAGTGACAAGCACTACCATTTCAGCCATACCATAGATATTATAGACATAATCAGGCTTGACCGAAAGATTCTTTGCCACTGCTTCCACAACATGGCTCTGGGCTGGTTCGCCACCAAACATGGCACGCTTCACACAACTCCAGTCCGCTTTCCTGTTGGCCTGCTCCAAGCGCTTGAGGAGCAATGCATAAGCAAAGTTTGGGGCAGAAGTGATAGTGGCTTGATATCTCTCGACCATATCAGTCCACAGTAGTGGATTGAGAATGAAATCCAAGGGAGATGCCATCACAAGGGGATTACCAGAAAAGATAGCTCCCATAAAACCAGTCACAAGACCCATGTCTGTCGAAATAAAAGTAATGGGGTTGAGGAACAGAATGAATGCCAACAAAATGGTATCTGTGGCTGGAACTTCCTTACCATGATATTGGGGGACCCACAGGACTTCCAAAGAGTTTGGTTCCGAGCATTGAGTCAAAGAAACTCCAGCCTTGCATGTCTCAGCTAGGTTGTGGTGACTGATCATGACTCCTTTGGGACTTCCCGTACTGCCTGAGGTGTACTGGATAAAACAGATATCGTTTGGTTCTCCCATGTACGTCTCATAAGCGTTAGGCGTTTTTGATTTGCTCTTTTTGGTTGAGATTTTGTCGGTTCCAATCCATGTGACACCAGTCTTGTAGAGGACACTGGCTGCAGCCATGGCAGTGGCAAATGTATTGGTGGAGAGGGCATACTTTGCTCCGGCATCCTCTGCAAATCTGCGGAATTTGGGCATTTCTGTCTTGAGCTGATTTGGATTGGGTGGATAGATAGAGCAAGGGATGACTCCAATCTTCATGGCTCCAAACATTCCAGCCAAGAACTCGAGGCCAAAGGGATATGCCACCATGACCCGGTCTCCTTTTTGGCATCCCAGCTTGAGGAGACGAGCTGCCACAGCATTGGATGTATCCTCCAACTGCGTGAATGTCATCTTGTTCTGTTCATCACAATTCTTGTCGACCCAGGTAAGGACAATCTTATCAGGAGTCTCTCCAGCATGATGATCGAGGGCTTCCAGGATGGTTGAGAAGGACATTGTTGTTCTTTGTCCTTGTTGTTCTTGTCGCTTGAGCTGGTTGTTGGTTAGATGGCTGCTGCTGTGATCGTCTTCTTCCGGCAATATCATTCGATGCTTGCTGAATTTTGATTCCCAGTAACTAGTAGTAGTCCGATTTCTCGTAGTAGTCTTGGGTTGATTCGATTCTTCCTCTATTGTGGATGCTCGATCCTCTCTTGGGTTTTGCTCTCGTCCTTGATTATTTGTGTACTTACTCGATCGTCTTTTCTCGACTCACTCGATTGCTAAATGGTAATCGTTGATCGTTCGTGCTCCACTTGATGGTTGCGTGGTGGCTATTACGGTGGCTTCCGCATGCGGCAGCAAGGATGTGGAATGCATTAAAGAGCTCATTAAAGGCACAAAATCCCGCTCGGAGTATGATAGTTTACTTTTAAAAAGCTACTAGGTTTCCAACTAACTGGGCGACCCAGAACTCCAGAAATGGGACCTAACCAGTTTTAAACTGTTTACGATTTGTCATAGTTTACTCATGACTGTTGACGTAGTTTCCGCGCATCCGATCCCCGCTTCTCGCCCATCTAACAAAGCAATGCTAGGAAGGTCCTGCAGAACATGAAAATCTGAAATTGAATTCATCACTAATTAATCATTTTTATCACCATTCATCACGGATTCATCATTTTCATCACCATTCATCACGATTCAACAAATTGGTAATGAATTCATCACCAGTCAACATATTAAACAAATCAATAATTAATCATATTTACAATATTTCTTCGCTTTTACTTGCCAGACCTTGCTGTTGGATTTTGATTAATACTACTTGTTTTATAGTAAAACGATGTCTTCATAAACGGTTCCTGTAAGTTCACAAGGTCCTTCCCTGTAAAAGGTTCGTAACCAAGCGCACGCCAAAAAATGTTTCGTCGTTTTCCGTACTACTGTAGTACCGCGTGGTTGACATACATGAAGGACTGTTCCCCGACTCAATCGAATCGAATCGAATCAATCACAATTCTCATTCGAACGGACTCAATTCGATAGAGGACTCAGTCAATTAGATCGAATCGAATCGAATCGAATTGGATCTTCAATCCGCGGTTCCTCTTTTTGGATCTTTTGTGCTACATGTCCAGGTCTCATTTCTTTTTCTTCGAAACCTGGAAGAAGATGACCATGAAGCAACTGTTGGCGAGTAAGAAGCCTGCCAAGGGCCACAATGTTGGATCGAGTAATAACAGCCACCTTTACCGTGCAGGAGGCATGTTCTTGATGCTGATGGTATCGATTGCTTCTATTTTTCGTTTGGGGTTTCAACTGGGCAAGCAGCAAGGGCCAACAACAGCGGCATCCTCACAACAGTCTTCTTCTTCCATTGACGGAATTTCCTATCTCACCACTCTGGGCATTCCCCAAGGAGAAGCACAGGCATTACCATCCATCCGTGTCTCGGACGAAGCGGTCAATCATCAAATCGGCGGCACTCATTACGGCGGCAAGGGCGACAAGGAACATTTGGGCGGTTTTACCAAATACGACGCCCACGGAGTCTCTCCCGCAACGTGGCGTTATATCGTGGAAACCTTGGGCGTCAAGTCCGTCATGGATGTGGGTTGTGGCAAGGGCGTGAGTACTCTGTACTTTCATCACGCGGGTGCCAAAGTGTTGTGTCTGGAAGGAAGTCACGATGCCGTCACACACACGCTCTTGCCGGATCCATCGACACAAGTGGTGGAACACGATTTTAGCCGTGGCCCCTACTGGCCGGCCGAAACATACGATGCCGTCTACTCGGTGGAATTTCTGGAACACGTGGGACGCAATTTTCAATTCAACTACATTCAAGCCTTTCGCAAGGCAGCACTCATTTTTGTCTCGCACAGTCAATGGGGCGGATGGCATCATGTGGAAGTCCATCAACGAGACTGGTGGGTGTCACGATTTCAACTCTTTGGATTCACATACTCGGAGGGTCTCACGCAAAAAGTCAAGGATGTCTGTCTGCAAGAAAAATTCAATGCCGACAAGAATCGACACAATGCGAGTGATACGTACGCTTCCATTGGGCCGAATGGGGATGTCTATGATGCTCAGGTAAGCCAAGCCTGAAATGTATTGTCTGCTAGCTAGTTTGATCAAGGGTGTTTTGTGTACTGACCCCAATGCATCCTGATCCATCCAACCAACCACAATCAACCACAAACAACAAATCACACCCGGATTTCTGTTTCATTTTTTTGTCTCCTTCTTTTCAATTTATTCATTACCCACCCACCCACGTACCTACCAATTATTAATATCACAGCACATTTGGCTCAACTTGATGGTCTTTATCAATCCGGCCGTGGCATCACTGCCCAAACATGCACATTTACTGGCGGAACCAGGGTGTCCCAATGGTAGAGATGAAAGCGGATGGCTCCAACGGCAGTGTGACAAGACCAAGGGGGAAACGGAACTGCCAGAATCCTACTTGCCACTGAAAGTGACCCAAGAACAACATCAAAAATGGTTGGATAAAATCAAAGCAGCCATTGCCTCTTCGGATGGAACAAGATGATGAATGATTGATGGCTGATGCATGGTGGATGGATGGAAGGAAGAAGAAGTTGAAAACGCCAAAGCGTTGGATGGAACAAGATGATGATTAGGATGATTAGGTTCACAAAATGCTGGTTGGAAAAGTTGAAAAACAACTTGTCCCCTATTTTCTCCTCGCTTATGGAGGGCAAAATGATGTGTGGCTTGAATGGTACCGTAGCACGCGCGGTATGAGTTTGTGTTGCAATGACATACGTGTCCAATCAGCCACGAGGTCACGCCAATCCTTGCTGCGCAAGAGTTTCCTAGCTTCGTACTACAGTTTCTCTAGACTGTCCGCCTTCTCTGGCTATTAGTGGATGGAGGAGCCGGCGATTTTCATTCCCATGCTGTGGTCAACCTGAACGCAACGGTCAGCGCTCCACAAAGTCAGCCATGAAAACCACTTGTGGCCAGCTAGCTGGTTCATTGGCTTATCCGGTAGACTACAAATATACATCAAATAACTTGCTTTAGAGGGTGTTCTGGCTGAAGAGATACCGGCACGGTACGGTTTGGAGAGACAAGGATGTGGATTTATGGCCGTGACACGTATTCTGTTTTCTTGGCTTGAAGTCGCAACTACACCGATTCACTTTCTCCGTATCATCTCTGTCTTCCCTTTGGTCGATAGCAGCACTCATTGCGTCTTCACAGCGAAATTCGTATCAGACAAAAACAAGGCACCTATTCGCTGATAGCCCAGGCTTGTTACATGAGCACACACTTGGTTGCATTATGGTAGGGCTCGAGGGCCTGCTGACAAGCACCTTCCAATGAACCACAATTCTCAATGATACGACGAATATTCGCTCTGCAGTGCTGGGCCTCAACTGCACTTAGCACCTTTGTGTCCGCCCTTACCTTGATCAAAAGCCCGCGAATAGTGTTGAGGCGACTCTCGATATTCGCAAGAAACTTGTTGGCTCTTTTGATATCAGTACGTGTCAAGGCAATCCCGACAGCACCCAAGCCGAATACGCCAGCACCCACCAAACAACCTATAATGATTGCTGCTTCGGCGACAAGTACGGCAGGGTGCAAGTGAAGTGCAATGGCGGCAATGAAGCCGATACAAGCCAAGACCGCACCACAAAACGCTGCAATTGTTTTGGCTCTGCCGTCACCATATTTCTCAATGATGTGGGCTCGAAACCCTTTCAATTCAGACTGAAGATCCATGCACTCCTCTTGCATTTTTTTGGCAAGCTTCATCGTCTCGTCGCTCTCGAAGCCACCATAGCAGTCCTTGAGACTGGGGTAGTTTTTGGGATCATTGAGCCTGTCCTCGACAATTTCCAGTTTCGCTTTGGTTTCCGCCGCAAAGGTTTGAACGCCATTAATGAATGAATCCTTCTTAGCCATCAGGTGGTGCCATACTTTTCTATCTTCGGTATCCAACACTTTGGGCGATTCGTCACTTCGGCTCGCAAGAGTCACAGCGCGCAAAGCCAACAAGCTATCGCAGGCGTCATCAGCATAGTTCGAATAAAGTTCCTGCAACTTCTGCCCGGCAAAATCATTCTGGGTGGTGGCTGCGGCTTCGTTCGTCATTCTTCGGGCTTGGTGGGGGGTTCTGTTGTCGCAACGGAGGGCAGTAAGATTGGGGGTCGGGTTGGTTTTTCTTTCTTTTTAAACTAAGTTTTCAGTTTTGTGAGCCTGGGGTTGAACCTTCAATTAATTCGTCTACTAGCTAGCTACCGTAGCTACTGGTAGTACCTAGCTACCTGGTAGCTACCGGTAGCTAGATCTACTCTTTCTAAAACCCCGGGATTCATTCATGATTGTCGAGTCGTAGTCCTCAGTCGAGTGACAAGTCTCACTCAGACATGCATGACTCCCGCCGATCTTAACACTATGACTCCCGCCGGCTATGGCTTATGACCGTACACGTCAAGGGTGGGTACCGTACTATTAATAGTACACGTACTAGTACCTGGTACCCTGTCTCGGCTCGAACATGCATACATACGACTGTACCCCCTATCATCATGTATCATGCAGATCACGACTGTGGAAGCCCCGTTCCGGCGTCAATTCGGTCAGGGTACCTGTAGTGATGTGAAAACCCCGACCGAAAATCGGACTGGTTTTGGCCTCTGGCTTGCAACTGTCTACTCTTGAGAGGGATCCTGACGCCTTGATTCGTTGGCTGGCTCCAGCAGTACGTATCGATGATGTTCGTCTCATAAAATTGGGTAAGCAAACGAAATTGCAATCCAAGCAACAACGAGAACAATGGGACAATGGCACAGCGCACCAAAGAAGGCAGGAAATGCCGCCGAGAAATGGGGAGACGTGGCGCCACAGGCTGAGGAAACTTTAGGGCAGGCTGAGGAAACCTTAAAACAGGCAGGAAATGCCGCCAGGAGATGGGAGGGCGTAGCCCCCCAGGCTGAGCAAACCCTAGGACAGGCAGGAAATGCTGCCGAGAAATTGGGAAACTTGGCTCCACAGGCTGAGCAGACCTTAGAACAGGCAGGAAATGCCGCCGAGAAATTGGGAAACTTGGCCCCACAGGCTGAGCAAACCTTGACGCAGGCAGGAAATGCTGCCGAGAAATGGGGAGATGTGGCCCCACGGGCTGAGCAAACCTTGAAACAGGCAGGAAATGCTGCCGAGAAATTGGGAAACTTGGCCCCACAGGCCGAGCAGACCTTAGACCAGGCGGGAAATGCCGCTGAGAAATTGGGAAACTTGGCCCCACAGGCAGAGAAAACCCTGGGACAGGCTGAGCAAACCTTTGGACAGGCTGAGCAAACCTTAGGACAGGCTGAGCAAACCTTAGAACAGGGTGGGAAAAACTTTGAAGACATCGCAAACACAGTCACCATGGTCGGTGTTGCTGCAGGAGGTGCGATTGACATTGTCGGTGCCATGGCGGGGATATCGGGTGGGCTTTATGCGGCTAACCAACTTGTCAGGCTTTGTCAGCAATTGGGTTTGATTGAGATGCCCACTCAACATTTTAGGGTTGCACAGCTTGACGAAACCAACGATATTGCTCGTGAAAGCATGAATAACAAGCGAGAGGGCGAGCTCGTAGACACGGTGGTTGATATGGCGGGTCCTATTAAAATGAAAATGGCGGAGCTGATGCGACCCAGCAATGATCTGGTGGCTTCAGGGAAAACTGGAGAGGCCTGGTTCTTCTTTTCTTGCGATAACTGGACGGCTCTCCGGCTTCGTGGCAAAGGATACTGGGCATTCCACCACCTCAAGCAGTTGTTCGAAGCTGTCCACGCTTTCAACGCCATATGCCAAGCTGCCGAGACAAACGAAGACCTATCCAGCAAAGAACGTGAAGTTATCTGTAAACGCAGAAGTGTCATATGTTTCCTGGACGGCAAGGGATTTCCTCAAGATATATCCCACGCCACCTTTCCCTCATATTTCCGCAACATTGAAATTTTTCAGCACAGCCGAGCCAGAGGATCAATCAACTTTCATTCAATCTTTGTTGAAGATGGATGCCGCGCAAAGCTTGAATACGTCCAAGTGAGGGCTCTGGAATCACGTGGTGAAACCGAACTCAGTGGCTGCGTTTTGGGTTTTCCAAAAGACACCCCCTGCATCTTTGCCGATCCGGAAACTACCTGGGAGAATCAGTATGGTGTTGGTGGTAACGTCACTTGCTACAACGGATGCCGCTTTTCTAACAGCAAGGTCGACTTGATTCGACGGAGCTGCAAAGATGAGGACAAGGAGGGTGCGAAATGCCTAACTGTCGTAAATGCAAGCGCAAAAGACTGGAAGGTCCGCATTGAAAGCAAGGTTGGCGTTTCTTACTTCGGGCAGCAAGCGGTGAAGGGAGATGTTCTGGTTCCTGCTAATGAGTCGGTTGTCATCGGTCACACCAGAGGAAAAGGAGGACGTTTGTGCGGTACGTTCATTTTTGTTGACCATAAAGGTGACAACATTCAATACCAGTACAAGACCGATGACTTTCCTGACATTACGATCACCCGCTCAGAGGCAAATATGGTATATTGACTCCGAGGTTTGAACGGCCAATCAATAACAGGTTGACGATTGACGAAAACGAGATACGAACACGTTACCGTAAATGTTAGACATACTACTAGTTCAGCAGTTGAGGCAGCACCACTGCTGACAGGATTGGAAGCATGCTGACCTTCCAGATTGTTGAGGATCTCATGATCCCTCACTATCTCACAAGCCATGCGCAGCCATGTGCTGATGGAGAAGCCCCAGAGGTCCAAGATCCTCCCTCTCCAAGTCGGACCATCACACTCAACGCCTTCCTTTTGGTCGGGATTTGAGCGACTAGCTACGCTCCATGCTAGCTACCGAAGTGGCTCTTCCTGCACCGGTAGCAGGAAACGCTTTCCTTGCTTTCAAGAAGTGCCATGGTTGAAGGTTTCGTAGCTTTGTGCCGTCATTGGCGACACTGAGCGTCGCCTTTCTTCTGGTCCGGCTTGGGCCTTGAGAACCGCAACTTTGGCGCGAACTGTTACCGTCCCCGTCATTCCTCTCCACCCCCTCAAACAACAGTTGCTTCTTGCAGTTTGATCCAACCATGGCGTCTTCTGTCTCGCCTTCGCCTCTCAAAGGCAAAGCAAACAACACGGCCATCAGCTTGTCCACGAAGACAACGAAAGCTAATGAGATGTAGGAAAAATCCAGCTGGAAACCAGTGGAGGTCAAGTCATCTGCTCTCATTGGTACCGGTACCCAGTCATTGGTGGCAGTCAAGCAACAGAAGTTTGGATCGATCAAGGAAGAGAAGAAGCCATCCCTACCAAAGGTGAACCAAGAAGTAAAAAAGGAAGATTCCGGCAACACACCAAAGCCTTTAGAGTCTGCTGAGATGAAAGGAACTGAAGGCGCCGGTAAGATCAAAGAGGAGAGCAAGAAGGAAAACGTAGAAGACTCCTTTGAGAAACCAAAGCACGGAGAGCCTCTTGACACCACAGGAAAAGAAGACGCCGTCAAGCCCATCAAGGTGGAGAGCATTGAGACCAAGGAGGAGCGCATGGAAGAAGATGAAGAAAGCGAAGATGACGATGACGACGGCGATACCCCGTCTACCCTAGACGACGTGTATGAGGCATTGGGAGAAGTTACTACACCCGGGTCAACTTGCACAGCAGGTGTTGCCACATCCCTTCCAGCTCTGCCCGGACTTAACGTAAAGGGTGTTGGGACAGTTCTGCTTCCAGTGACGGACGTTACTGCATCAGCTCTCAAAGCAGTTGCCAAGCAGGCACCTCATGGCCAGGGTATGGAGACTGTTCTAGACACATCTGCACGAGACACCCTACAGATTGATGCTGATCAAATCACTCTTGACCATCCTTGTTGGAACACTTCCCTACGGAAGCTTGTGGACACTGCTGCAACTTCTCTTGGAGTTGCGCCCAGCCTGGTACAACCCCACTTGTACAAACTGCTGCTCTATGAGACCGGAGGATTCTTCAAGAAACACAGAGACACAGAGAAAGAAGATGGCATGTTTGCTACCTTGGTCATTCAGCTGCCCAGTGTCTTTCATTGAGGATCCTTTGTTGTCTCCCACGGCAAAACGTCCCGCACACTCAAGCTGGATGCTCCAGAAACCGCGCCTTATGCTTGTCACTACGTGGCTCATTATGCCGATTGTGAACACGAAATCCTTCCCATTGAGTCTGGATACCGACTGGCGTTGATCTACTCCTTGTGCTACACTGGAGCACCCTCAGAGTCTCCATCAGCTGCTGACATGGAAGAAAACGAAGGATTTGTAAAAGCCATCGATTCCCTTTCTATTGATGACTCTCTCTTTGCCGTTCCATTGGACCATCAATACACAACCAAGTCTTTGGCTCGTCTTGGTGTGCGGGCTTTCAAAGGATCCGATAGGGCTTTCGCCTGTGGCATTGCTGCTGCCAAAGGCTGGAAGATGGTGGTTGCGCAGATGACACGCACAGACTTTGAAATGGGTTCTGGTTCGTACTATGACGGATTTGATGACGATATTGAATTCGGAGCTCCAACTTTCGAAAACTTGTATCATGCGAATGGAGCTGATGCCCAAGCACACAGATCATGGATAGACAACCAGTTGGATCTTACGTCAGTCAATGACGGTGGAATGGTCTTGGCTTCCGATGACTATGTGGATGAAATGTGGGTAGAAGGAGAAAGTGGCGAGGTATCGTACAGTGGCAATGAAGGAGCCACGCGGTCAACAACCTACTCTGCCTGCTTGTTGGTAGCTTTCGCGGATGCTGGAGTCACGGAGCGGGTCTGGCGATCCAATCTGAGTGTTGGAATAAAAGGGGTGGAGATGAAACCAAGCCTTCTTCCTCGCTTTCTTTCCTTTCTCAAAAGAACTAGACCAGGGCTTTCCTACAAAGACTTTGCCAAGCTCTACAGTGTCCTTGCGCAAAACTCTTCAGACATTGCTGACGACTCGTACTGGAAAGACTTTGCGACCTTGGCTGACTGTGTCACCAGGACAGAACCTCCCACTGCCGCCGCAGTTGACCTGTTTGCAGCACTGGTGAGGGAACATGGATGGAATGACAAGACTGAGCCAATTCGTTTGATTTTGGAACGGCTCCCTGACCTACCGAAAGCCCAGGAAGCGTCTGGATTCTTTGAGGCGGTCCATGCTTTGCTCTCGATAGAACAGATCAGTGGAGACACACCTGAAACACTTCAATGTCTTCTGCCAAAGCTTCTTGATACCTTGGAAAAAGGACTGGCCAACACTGCATCGAACCGCTACAATAGCATTTACCCGTGGCACCAGAAACAGGATTGGGCCCCTTCAAACATTGTTGGCAAACTGGTGGAGTTGGCGACTAGACATGGATGGGATCGGGCAGATCCCATTGCAAAAGGGTGCTTTAAGAAAATTCGGCAAAATTTCGGTCGTTCATCAGATCAGCTGTCAGAAGAGATGGTTGCTTTCGAACGCATTAGAAGCAGTTTTCCGGAGGCAAAATTGGACGACATACGAAGTCGTATCCTTGAAGACTTTGTGGACTTAGCCATTTCAAGACAGAGCGCAACTGTTTGGAGAAACCCCAAAACAACCACGCTTGTACAGGAACTCTTTCGGTTTGGAAGCAATGCTCTTTTCCAGCGTCTTCAAGGGTGGGCGTCCAAGGCATCACTTGACTTGCTGACTGACGCTGGCCAGCTATTGAAAAAAACTAATGCAAAAGGTCTCACTTGTGGCTCTATTCAAGCAAAGGATGTTTTAGTGAAGATGGTGCTTGATCGCTGGAAGCTGTTGAAGCTGGCACATCTGAAGACACAACAGGCACAGCTTCAAAAAACACTCTATTTGCAGGGTAGACCAATCTTCTCGTGGAGGATGCCTCGTGCCAAAACACCCAATGCTGCTCTCAATGCGTTTCTCCACAGTGATAAGGCAGGCCCCACCAGAGTGGTTGTTGGAGGCGGGATCCACAATGCCCGGAGACTGGCAAGCAATTACTTTTGTTACAGCGCGTCTCTTGGCCCCAGCTCATTCCTCCGCGACGGTTATAGCGCAAGTATCAAGAGCACTCAAGACACTGGACCAAGAGCTTCCGTGATTGTAACAAAGACCACAGACTGGTACAATGACCAGTTGGCGAAGTATGAGGCAAATGTCAAGGCACTAGGTGAGGTGAAGGCAAAGATTCGAAAGTACGGGGGAGGGGTCCAAGCACCGGCTTCCAAGCGTGCAACGGTTCAAACGCATGGGGGCGATGTTCCGGCACCGGCTTCCAAGCGCGCACGAAAGGAACCGGATGTCATTGTGCTTGTCTAACTGAAATGAAAGCCTCAGGTGGCTTCTGGACGCACCAAAGAAGCCTGGAGTTTCGCAGCTGGAGGCTGCGAGTGCTACTAGACAGTGTTGTTTCGTGTTAGCCCGTGCCTCTTTTCGGCGTCAATCCATGATTGGGCCTGATTGCTGTCTCTGCTGCTTTATGGTACATGTATCAATAGTGAGGACCAGTAACTTACGAAGCAATGTTTATTGTCCTGATTTGATTTGCGTCTACGACTTGTGTCCTGCAAAGGCGCGCGCCTCGAACCTACACAGAGCTCGGGGCTCTTGAGACACAACTGCATGGTTTAGCTACTGTACCGCTACTCATCTGCGAGAGGGTCTCCACGTGGCTCCAAAGTCCCGTGGTGTAAAACGTGAAGCACTAAAGATTGTATTCATCAGCTTTCCCCTTCACCACCTTTACCAGCTAGTGGTTGGCTAATTGATTCATTCCTTGTGCTTTGGAGGCGCGCTGATTGCAAACATTTTCGAGCTGGAGGTCCGTCCAACATGCATCAACTCGGGGCATGATACTGCAGCGATGGCATCTGCCGTGTGCTTGATGACATCTTCGATTGCTTCAAAATTGCTTTGTCCGCGTTGGAATTTGAATTCGTAGCAAGTTGAACAAGGAACGATGCTTGACGCTCTTGAATTCCAGCTGCCCGCTATCCTCGTTGGCACTGCGTGGGACGGAGAATTGGATTCGCTCTGGATACGGCAACGCAACAAGAAAATCCTCTACATTGTTATCTACCGTCTTGTCGGTGGCCTGAATACTGCTGCCTACACAATGTCCCTTCCTGTCTGAACGTTTACAAGAGATAAGCTTTTTTTAAGAATCCTGACTGCAAGCTTTGGGCTCTGTACTTTCGTAGTTGCAGGTGCAGCCCTGCCGGACATGGAAGTAAGCAGGGTTCCCCACTGACACTTCAGGCCTCACCTATTACTGGGAAATAGCATTACTCCCCAACTCAACATCCACAGGATCTTTGTTGCTGTCACTTCTGAGGAATACTTTCCACGGGCCATTTTCTGGGCCAAACACTTCTGCTCCAGCTGAGGCATAGCATCCTGGATGCAACAAACCAGACACATAGGTGTCATCAATGGCAAGCCCATTGCGATCAATGTAGTGTCCGCTAACATGGGAACTGTCTACAATGACGCTGCCTTTGAAATGAAGTTTGCTGTACTCATAGAGAGAATTACCAAAGTACCAGAGGTCACCAGATACCTCAGCTCCCATGAATCGAGCACAGGAGGCAAACATGGGTGTGCCATAGAGAACCATCCAAAGCCAATTCCCCGCGCGAAATTGCCTTACATGGTTGATGTAGATACCAAAGAAGCCCTGCTGAGCATAGTGTGGCAGAATCAACAAGATCTGCTCAACTGCTTTGGTCAAGAGAATCCAAACAAATAGTTGTACTGCGACAGCCAAAGCCAAACCCAATACAACAATAGTCAAGGAGGAACTTTTTGTGGCAGCAAGACCAATCTCATAGGAGGGGACAATGCTGAAGAAAAGGATCATATTCAAAAGTTGCTGTTCTACTTCTGGAAGAAGCAAGGTAAGACTGCTGACTGTCCGTGACTTGTCTGAATGATTCCAATCGCAGACACTATCAGAAACATTGGACCTTGGTGGGATCATCGATTTCATTATCTTGACTCCTGCATGAAGATTGGAATTGTACCCAATACTGCTGTTGATGATTTCAATCTTGGAGTCTGCTTTTGTGCCGAGGTCGAGAGTGCTGGAGGGAACAAAAGAACACCGAATCTTCACAAAGTCTACCTTGGAGGGGAAGAAGACTGTGTATGGGTGGCTGAGGGTAGATGTCATATCAGCGTCAAGGCCATGGAGGAAAAGGATGAAATGCCACAACTTGGACTGCCCAAAGAAAGGGATAAGAGCCCAAGCAGCTATATGGAAGTGGTAGTCGCAAGCCCAATTTGTTGCCCGCCGGTAGTATGAACCTTCATATTCATCTGATGGATCTCGCTTACCAATAAGAAGCCATTTGAGGGCAATGCTCGTGAGGAGGGCAAGGAAGGATGTCAATGGAAACAGGAGAAACCAATGAAGAACGCCACCGTATCGCCATGAGGGCAAGATTCTGTTGAGTGTAAAATGGACCAGGGAGGATAGTGCAAAGAAGTGGTATGCCTCAGAGATGGCCCAGACCATCTTGAAGACACTCAACAGTGAGTCAGCCAAGAAGTTTGATTGTAGATGCTGCTCAAATGGGCCAGCATTATAAGCTGGGCTTCCCCTGGCAACAGCACCATTTGGTACTATGGCTCCCTCTTCAACGGCAGAGAGTTTCTCCACCTTGCTTCCATCTCCAATCTGGGCCCCTGGGCCAATCATGCCAGAGACCTTGCAGTTCTTTCCAACAACAATGGGATAGAATGTCATCTTGGGGCTTGCCTCTTCAGTTGACCGGGAGAACTTTCTGCACTTCAAAGGATGTGCAATCGCTGCATTGCTGCCCACCTTTACCAGATCAAATTCACGGATATAGGATTCAATCTTGGCAGACCAAGCCAGGTCAGCACCAAGCAGCCAGTAGATGATCCAAATGAACTTGGTTTCTAGAAGGAATTTTCCAACAATAGACTCCCAGACTTCCACAAGCCTGTCCACAAACCACCAACGGATGTAATCCCATGATAGAAGCCCAAATTGCCTTGGTAGGTACTTCCCAAGTACACCAAGCTTGAATAGCACCACAACCAATGAGAATGATAGGAGAAAGAGAGGAAAGGCCAAGGGCATAAGGACCCAAAATATCTGGCACTCTCCATCTTCGGCTGAGGCACATTGGTCCAATACCCAGGATGCTAGGAAGTAGGACGGGACAACTGAGGTCAAGACTAAGAGAAGAATCAGAGCTGACCCAAGGGATTGGATTACTCCAAGTTGTAACTTGCTCAGCCTGGATCTGGATGAGTTCCAATCAGAGTCAGGTTGGTCGTACTTGTTTTGTCTAGGAAAGATCTTGCCCTCCGATGCCGCCAGGAAAACATGGAGCTCCATTGGTGTTCCATAGAGTTGTTCAAAGTTCACTGGAAGCACTACATGGAACTCCTCCTCAACTCTGTTCGTCAGCTCAGCACTCTTGAGTGATGTAAGACCGTTCTCAGCCCAACTTTTGTGAGGATCAAAGTGAGCTCCAATGATGGTGGATACCATACTCTGAAACTCATTGGGCAATATGGCAGCATTGCATTCACTGGGATAAACATGTTCAGATGATTCAGGTTCTTCTTCGTCTGTTTCACCGCTGCAAGATTGTTTGGTCGGATTCTTGTTAGAGTCGTTCTCCACTGGCTGCAGCCTTAGGACCACAGAAGATGTCTTCCAATCACCAGCAACAGTGGCTTGCCGAACCTCATTTCTCTTTAGCTTGCCTGATGTGGTCTTTGGTGTCACGCCTGGTTTCAGAACAACAACCTCGGAGACAAACAACCCATGTGCTTGGGAAACATGGTTTGCTATCTGCAAAGCCAAATCTTTGTTTGCTGACTTGTCAAAATCCTTTCTCGACTCGGCAGTAATGCCAATGCTGTCTTCTCTGTACTGAAAGGCAGTTGTTCTTCCTGGACGGACAATGTGTCCAAATGTTGCATCAACAGAAAGCTCCACATCCGTTGGGTAGTAATTCTTGCCATTGATGATGATGACATCTTTGACCCTTCCAGTGACATAGAGCTGCCCATCAACCACCTTGCCCAAATCACCAGTGTCAAGCCAGGTTCCCTCATAATTTGGGAGGGCATTTGAAAATGTGGATCTAGTCAGCACTGGCTGGCCAAAGTACCCAGCAGCAACACGGGGTGACTGGACCCAGATGGTTCCAACATGTCCCTCCTCTGCCTCTTTTCCATCCTGGACAATGCGAATCTTTAAGGTTGGGGAGTCTACCTTTCCACAGCACACAAGGTCTTCGGTGTCGGGGACTGCAGGTCCTCCTGTGAGCCACACTACTGACTCAGCAAGGCCATAGAGATTGTAAATATTCTCAGGTTTCACAGCTAGGGTTGTAGCCACTTCCTCCACAACACTTTGCTGCGTAGGTTCAGCACCAAACATTGCATACTTCACACAACTCCAATCGTATTTCCTATTGGCTTGCTTCAATCGCTTGAGGAGCAGTGCATAGGCAAAGTTGGGGGCACAGGTATGAGTTGCCCGGTATTTCTCAATCAATTCAGCCCAAAGAAGTGGTTTTGTTAGGAAGTCGAGGGGTGAAGACATAACAAGCTGGTCACCAGCATATAATGTTGCCATGAAACCGCCTACAAGGCCCATGTCTGCCACGGTTGAGTACAGTAACGAGCGTTAGAATATTGGGAGATGCAACGATGCTTTACATAATTTCTCTAGCACATACCATGATATTGAGGTACCCATGACGCAGTCAATGACGTTGGAGTCAAGTTGATTGAAGCACCAATTTCCCTGCAATTTTCTGCCAGGTTGTGGTGAGTGATCATGACGCCTTTGGGCTTACCAGTGCTGCCGGAGGTGTACTGGATGAAACAGATATCGTTTGGTTCCCCATTGTACAGCTCATAGTCTTTGGGCTTGTTTGCATCGCATTTTTTAATTGGTAATTTGTCGGTCCCAATCCACGTGACACCTGTTTTGTAAATGATACTAGCTGTAGCCATCCCGGTAGCAAACATGTTTGTGGAGAGGGCGTACTTGGCTCCAGCATCTTCTGCAAAGCCACGGAATTTGGGCATTTCTGTTTTGAGCTGATTTGGATTGGGCGGATAGATAGAACAAGGGATGACTCCAATTTTCATGGCACCAAACATTCCAGCCAAGAACTCCAGGCCAAAGGGATATGCCACCATGACCCGGTCTCCTTTTTGGCATCCCAGCTTGAGGAGACGAGCTGCCACAGCATTGGATGCATCCTCCAACTGCTGGAATGTCATCTTGTTTTGTTCGTAACACTTCTTGTCGACCCAAGTAAAGACAACCTTATCGGGAGTCTCCGTTGCATGATGACTGATGGCTTCCAGGATGGTTGAGAAGATCTTCATAATCGATTTGCCAGAGTTTGCTTTTGTTCTCCCTTGCTGCTCCGATCCTTGGGATTGTGTGGGTAATTGTTTTGATGGCGCCGTTTTGTTTTTGTGGTCGGACCCTACTTCTAGTAGTGTTGAGAAAATAGTAGTGTTTGTTCTTCTCGTGGAGTTTTTGAGTCGTTTCCATGCTCCATACAACCTTGGTTGGTATTTACTGTTTATTCCTTACTGCCATGAGGTCAGTAAAAGGAGCAGTAATGGCAGTAATGCAGTAATTCCTCAGTAGCAGTAATTATGCACAGTAATTTAAAGCCAATTGAAGGCAGTAAACTACAGTAATTGCAGTAATAAAGGCTAATTACTGTGCTTTTACTGTCATTTACTGGATATTACTGTTGCAAAGGCAGATTACTTACTGCATGGGATTACTTACTGCAGTAATTAGGTGGCCAACAATGGCAGTAATTGGACAGTAAGGAGCCAGTAACCCGGATTTACTGCAGTAAATACCAACCAAGCATACAACCTCGCCAGTCGCCGCTTGGGTGGTTGGCAGTTGGCAGTTCGAAGCGCTTACTAGTCTAGTAGAAATTTCTACTAGGTTGCTGAGGGCCGGGCAAGGATTTATTACTGGTACTCGCATCGTTCTGTGACCGGTGTAGACAAGAGCCAAACATGCATCCAGAAAGACTGCTTTGGCACAGACGTAAATGGGGTAAACATTAATCATCTTTGTTAACATATTTGCAGACGCCGAAGCCTGTGTTTTACCGACTTGGCGGCTGTTTCAGTAAAAGTTACTTAATCCAGTCACTCTTTGCTAAAATCGTATGATACTTGCATTGTATTCTACTTTTGACCCTTTATTTACTCGAACTACTATTCCAAAGCAGTCTACTAGCTGCATGACTGTTTACATGGGACAACCTTTTACATGCCTGGATGAAAAGGCCAGGATTCAGTAAATAAATAATTTTTTGAAAGTTTCAAAACTGCATGGGTAAACACTTAAGAAGTGGGGTATTAAATTGGTTTATTGCAATTAAAATTTCTCCAAGCCCCTAAACATATACCATTTACGTAAATGGTCTTCGGGCTGGTAGCAGTCTTTCCCTCAATCTTACTTTGGCGGGGGTGATGCAGCAAAGCTTGGCAGCAAAAGGCTCGGCTAGCTAGCTGCGTGTACTCGTAGTACTAGTAGTGGGGGGTTGGTCACTGGAACGGTACACTTTACTTGTCCCTGGTACCAGTAGTAGTCTACTAGCTAGGATAGTCTTTAGAAGCACCAGCACCATGGTACCAGCTACCGGCAGGCATTCTTCCTGAAGACAGATTGGTTTGACTGAGTAGATGCGGTAAATATAGGGTTAAAGGTAAGCTTTATTCTGAACATTTAAAACGGAATGATTCCCGCATCTACTAGCTACATGTAGTACCATCAATCGAATCCCAAAGCTATCTTCGGTGCTCGTTTCGCTATCAGGCCCGTTTCTAACTAAAGGGAGGCGAATGACGCTGAAGCCAGTGCTCGACTTCACTCCACCCAAAAGGTTTGGATTTTAATAAGATACTAGTATCACGCCTTATTGCAAGCAAGGTTGGGCCTGGCTCACTATGAGAAGCACTCTTCGAAGACGCGGCCCTGGTTGTAGGTTGCTTGCTTCCTGCCTCGTCGTCCAACATTGTATTGAAAGAACTTGCTCTAGTAATGCTCTTTGTGTAGACGAAAATGGGCCCTCTGGTAGCTAGCACTACAAGCTACAAGTACCGCTGAAGGGCAGAAATCATGCAAGGCCTCAACGCCGGCCGCCGCTTTTGAGACCTACGGAGCCACTCGTTTACGCGCCACTCGATGGCGCCAATGAACGCATCGTCGCAAGAAGATTCCAACGACAGCAATAGCTATCGGTGTCAGCAGGCAGCTCATGTTGTGGCGCATATAGTTATAATTAGTATGAGAGCTGGCAGAATGCATCAAACGAGGATCAGCCAGACCTGTGAAGCAAGGAGGATCCAGAAACAAAAGCAACCCAGTGCTCAGCCTTGACCACTGGCATAAATGTACTGGAGTACACGCCAAGCATGCTTGCTTCTCTCTTTCAAAAAGCCACCATGATGGTACATAGCTACCTGGTAGCATGCACAAAAGCAGCCAAGAACTGCTTGGTCCCTGCCGCAGCCTCCCTCTTCTCCAATCTTCGCGTCCAACCCCGAAGCCGTTCCCCGAATTTGGTTTGGTTCACGGGTCGAGTCCTTATTCAGTCTGGGCGGGGGGACGCGGTTTGCTTTCATCGCTGCTGTATTGCACAATGTACCAGCCAGTTCCCACAACCGACCGCCGCGCTTTATAGATTATTCATGTGCGTATATAAATGTTTCGTTAGACAGTCCTGCCAGCAGCGTGTTCGCCGAAATGTCGCATGTCAACAGAATCGAGAATCGAAGCAGAACCGAATCGAATCATTCGAACGAGAGAAAACCTACACTAAAACCTACCGCTACATGTACATGAGAGACTAGTCTATTTGGCTTGAACGGTAGCTTTGCCAGAGAGGCCGGGACATCAAAAAGATAATCTCGCACAGCTCGTATTTGCATTGGGTAGGAGCTCATCATCATCATTGGCCGTCTATCTCATTCCTTGTTGGCCAGTACACAGTGTATTGTATGGTAGCATAGGAGCAGCAGCATGCCCACACTCCGGTTTGCCCTCGCAGCTGTGGGCGATCTCTTGTCCAATCTCTTGTATGGATTTCATGAAGTAGATGCACCGACAAACGAGGAACTGACGACAGAACGCCGCAAGTCGATCCATGCTACTTGCCAGAAATTTCTGGTCGATCTGGTGGGTCCTGGCGATTTGCTGGATTCGCAAGTTCGCCATGAGATTGCCCAAGAAGCGTATGCCGCCTTTGGCAGCCCTATCAACATGCATACCGTCACTGTTCCCGATGAGTCGTCGTTCTTTGAGTACAACCAGAAGGAGATCCAACACAAGTTTGTGACAACGGGACCATTTCGGGAGGTGACTTTGGCCATTGTCAACTTTCAAAAGTTTTTGGACGAGGAGTTCTTTGAGCAGGTCGTTCAACACATACAGACTGTCTACAAGGAACATTCCATGGAGGACTGCAGAGCCATGGCTGTGGAGATCACTATTGTCGCGGCTGGATGTGATGCTGTCAGGACGTTCTATGCTGCTGCTGGGATTGACGAATATCCTCCTCTTCCGCCAAAGGCAAACCCAGAAGAACCAGCAAGGTTCGAAAGCGTATCAGACTATGCCTTGTCCCCCTTGAAGCAAGACGCAACAGCTTCTTGGGGACCATTTATGACGTATCGCCAGATCCGTCCAGATGTCTTTCAAAGATTCAACCTCCATCCAATCTGGTGGAAATATGCCAGCATCCGGTCCGCTCCGCTCTGCAACTACACAGCAGCACCGCTGACGGCTCAGTCCGTCATGAACTTTTTTGAAGAAATGTATGTGCCCCTCTTCTATTTGGCACTCTTTTTGCGAGTGCCTGGACCGGGTCGTCACTTGGTCCGTGCACAGCTGGAACCAGCCATTGTGGCCTATTCGGCGGGCAAGCGTTGTCGCTTCTGACAGCAAGACCACAGCTTCCATGCTCACTTGGCAGGCATGGCTGTCACGGGGGGGAAACCGTCCTTGGAAGCTCAGACATCGGCGCTAGGAGCCGCCATGGCAATGCCTCATGTTGCAGAAGACTGTACAGAGGCACGACTAGCACTTGTGGAGGCAGCCGGCAATCAACATGCACTTTTGGATGTGGCAGCTGCGATTGCCTATTTTTCCTTGATGACCAAAATTGTGGACATGAATGGCTTTTATCATCCTTCCGTCAATTCAATCGGTGTCAAGCTGGTGCCTGCAATCTTTACGGGGGCTCGAAAGATCCGAGAGTTCATTTGGTGTATCGTCATGTTCCCATGTGCACTCCTTCTTTGGTGGAAAGAAAGGAATGCGAAGAACGCTAGTAAATAGATTCTGGTAGCGATGGATACGTTCCTTGGGGTTGAACAAAACTAATCTGGAATGACGCTGTTCTGTTCTTGCACAATGTCAAAGCAGAACTGCTGATGCGGGATATGGGATCTCCGGGAACTGATTGCATCGAACCATTGACTTTAAAAGTTGTTACAGCAAAATTATGAATACTAGTACATTGTAGCTAGCTAGACTATTTCTCTGTGTATGTATGTATTTTCCACCTGGACACCACTTGCCTCTGTGCATTGTCTAACTTATCCACGCCGGGACACCATGCAGTCACCTCTACTGCTAGCTAGCTAGTAGTCATGTTTTACATGTAGTCTACCGGTAGCTGCGGACACCACTTTCCTCTGTACATTGTCCAACTTATCCAAACACCACGCAGAGCTCCATTCCCTCTCCGTTTCTTGCGATTTCACACTTTGAGGGTTGTGCTAAAAATGGGAAATGGGCCAGACATGCAGCGACCAAAAACTTTACTAAGCAGGAACCTTCAGAACACGACTGCAAGGGAGAACGAGGCAGCGATGAACGTCAATAAAGAGGAACCAACACTGAGAAGAAGTCTTCGAATTGTTGCACAAACGATGAAGATGACGGACGCTCCGTCTTCACAAGTGGCCATGTTGAGTATCCTTCCATGGGTTGAGGTGTTTAAATTTCTGAGTCTGAAAGATGTGACGCGATGCTTCATGGTAAGCAAGGACAACAATCCATGGAAGACCATCAATCCCGGTGACACTGCCACCACCGGGCCCACCCAGGCAAACGTCTTTCCAGCCATCATGGAACTCTTGGGGCGTACAGTGCCAGGTCGAGCTATTTTGCATTGTCTTCAGAAGTCACACGAGATCTTAGTACCAAAACACCTGCACTTGGTGAATCTAATTCGATGTGATGGGATTTACAATGTGAACAAAGTAATGTACTATAGGTTCTTTCCAGATGGCAGAGTGTTCGAAACTCTGATGTCGTCACCACGTTCGGAAGAATCTGTGAAATCTCTGTTTCGGACAGAGGACTATCTAAACTTGGGAGGATTTCAACGAATGGGCACCTATCAGTGCGAGTTGGTGGCAAGCAGCGACTGGATGATGAAGGTGTGTCTGAGTCTTCCCATTCTCTGGCCAAGAGAACGGCAAGGGAAAACTCGCGAATTTAAAGGTTGGCTGGGTCGGGATGGATGCTTTCGTATCCGGTTCACTGATCGCATGGATTACCACGAGTGCATGTTTCTGCAGCTGTAACGTGGTATCCAAAACTACAAAACAGTACAACGTGGCATCGGTGCAAAATGTACTGAACGACGAGACTACGGTACCGGGGGAAGAAAGCTGTGTTGAAGGAACACCTCGATGTTGCCAGTGGGTTCCGGTACCTGGTACACTGTGTAGGGAAGAAGCCATGGAGCCATTTCTTGGCACTGGCTAGATGATAGATTAACACGTTCGGATTATCTTGAGTAAGTTATTAGCAAGAGTCTTCTATTTCTTTAAAATAGTAGGCCAACCTGAAACGATGGAGTTCCGCTGCAGTGCACGCCAAAGAACGAAGGATGAGTTTCCACGTTTCTGCGGTGGGGCGTGGAAAATCGCAATGAAGGAGGTTTGGGCCGCAGCCAACAGGCGCAGCTTTGGGATTCCAAACTGTTGAGATTGGCAGTGGCAAATGCGATCATGAGTCCTAGCAAGAAACTGAAGACTCTGCCTGCATTTACTGCTGCCCCGAAGACAGAGGCAGCCATGCCGGAACAAAACAGGGGATCATGTGTTCAAGTTTTTGGCTGCATGGTCCAGATGTGGTACGATCCTTGATACGGTAGCACGCAGGCAAGAATAACACCCCGTGGAAGATCTCTTCCTTCGCAATGATGGCATTTACTCTTGCGATGGAATTTTTGTTTAGTCAACGTCGTTTCTTATCAATGGAGCACTTTACAGATTGCCAAACTCCTTCGTGTGCTCTGGGAACAACGAATTAATTGCGAACGCTCGGAAGCAGACATGCCGGTACCAATGACCGCATTTCAAGCAAGCTGCTGACTTCAAGTTGGGACCACGCTTGCTTTTGGAAGGGCAAAATATTGGTGGCTGCGAGCTCGGGGTGCAGGGCCACCTGTTGTTACGAGTCGAGTCGACCATGCTATGGCTGACCAAGAACTTAGAACAAATAATAATAGAACCTATTGCCGACAACGAGGGCATGGAGCCAATCGATGGGGCCAGGACCATGAGATTGAAATCGGACTTCTGCTTTTCGGACGAGCAAACGAACAGTGAAACCAACACAAAAGGCAGTGATCACCGAATCGACGATCAATCCGAATATCCTTTCTCTGTTCAAGCCATTGTGGCAAGCACTTGAAAAAACTCTAGTAGTGTTAATAGTAGCTTGTGGCCAAGCAAATATCTTAATAAAGATTCGGCCGTTTGATACGGTAACTTTAGACCACCCACGAACATAGCTACCGTAGTGGATTGACTGCAGTAAGTAAGAAATTACTTGGACCCTGGTATGCGCAATTGATCCATATACCGCCACAATAGATTGGGTGATATCAATCCATCCGTTTCATGCACAATCCCATTGTTTCCCAGCTCTATGGTTTGCAATACCTTGGCACCATTGACCGTGACACCTCCATCTTCCTTGCCACCAAACGCGCCAAAGAATCCGCCCGAAGTGGAGCGATCAATGGGGACTTCTCCACCCATGGTAATAATGCCACCGGCATTGAAGAGGGCGGTCGCCGACACGGGTTCCGCAATAACGTGATAGGCGCCAATCTTTTCGGCCGTTTCCGTGTTGCGGGGATCGGTCAATTGGGCACACTTGGTTTCACCCAACTCTTGAAAGGAGGCATCGGTTGGTGCGAACACGGTGAAGCCAACACTGGTGGATTCTCGCAGTATCTTGCACGCCTTTTCGTTGCGGCGCAGGATCATCATAAAGGCCGGGTAGCGTTCTTCCAAAAAAGCTTCAATATCCACGTCTTCGGCGGATGCTTCCGAGGCATGGAGAACCGTTGTAGTGTATTGCGGCAGCCATGGTGTTGCCTTTGTTACTAGTGCGGCACCGTGGAGAGTTTGAAACGCAAAGGTCGAGCCGACCAGGGAACTCAGAAGGAGAAGAATTTGAGGCAGAAATGAACTGGCGCACATCATTTTGCCTCTTGTACTGGTTAGATAGCTAGTCTTTTCAAACTTCCCGTGCCTGGGGTGTTGTGGTCCTACTCTACAATTTGTTGCTTGATTGAGATTCAATCTTTTTCTCTGTGCTGGATTCCATTCGGCGGGTGACATGATCATCATCTTGAACGAAAGAAAAAGAAGTGGACCTTACATAAGTTGACACCAAAGATACCAATCTCCTCAATGACGTGGCGTGGAAGATGACAAACACGACGTGGCCGGGAGCTGAAATCTTCTTCTGGTTTCCGAGGACTTGACATTATTACTATTAGAGTAGGCAGGCAAAATGATTTTGGATGAAGAGGAGTGAAAGTCGAGCACTGGCATCAGCGCCATTCGCCTTCCTCCCTTTTTCGGACAAACTAGCTAGCTAGATAGATACCGAGATGGCTAAATCTATCTAATCGGTAGTAGAAATTCTGCTACGGTAGCTAGAGGAGAGGCTGATGAAGAAGGGTTAGGGACCTCCGCACGGTCCCCAGCCAGCCAAGTAATTCGGAAGCGTAGAAGACTTATTAGTGGGTGCAATACCTGTACCGGTAGGGGAGCAAGATAAGCGAAAGGGGAGACGATAGCTATCAAGACACAATCTATTCTCAATCCTCTCGTTGAGCGAAACTGGATTCAGCAGTGGCTTGGTAGGTCACGGTGGTAGCTGTTTAGTTTGCTTGCTCATTTATTTGGGAACGTTCTTCAACTGCTACCGGTATCAACCTTAGCCCCGTCCCCAGTTGCTGTAGGACGCACGAGGCAGCAGAACTGTGGCGTGATGGGTTGTCTCTGTCAATCCCAGTAAATTATTTAGTATTCTCACTTTTTGCTGCATTTGATAAATGACTACGGTACAGTTACTCGTGGTCGAGGTTTCACCGCCAAAACTTCCACAAACCAACCACCACCCCAGGGAAGAGGGAAAAAATGACCATTGTCATGGTCTACAGGACCACAAGTGACACTACACAACCATACATGACCGGCAACAACCAAATGGACCATCGATTTGACCAAACCATGACAGCTAAAGTTATCTTTCTGCTACTACAGGTGCCATCCACAATTCATTATTCGTTGTGCCTTTACCACCACAGTTGTTGCTTGTTGTTGTTTGTTGTTCTTGTTGTTGCCTTAGCGTCCAGATGGATTCAACCAGTTGCCTCCACGCTTCCGGAAACTCTGGTCGCTTTCTTCCGTCTCTGACGCAGTCTCCTCATCGGAACCATAGTTGTCGCCGTAGCCATCGTCGTCGTTGCCATCGTCGTCGTTTGTCACCTCTGCAGGAGCACCGTTATCATCATCTTCTTCATCCTCCTCCTCGTAAGATTGATACTTTTGAGGAGGGGCATAAGGATCATCGTCTTCGTCATCGCGATCTCTGTTGCGTTTGGGTGTGCGGACGGGCTCTTCTTCTTCTTCGTCGTCCACCTCTTCCTCCGAATAAACGTCTTCAACCTCACCGAACTTGACATTGACACCACCGAATGGCCTCTTGTTGTAGTATCGACCGGAGTTCTCTTCTTCGAAGGAAGTCTTTGGCAAGTCATCCACCTCCATCTGAATTGGATCCTCTCTCTCCTTGTGGACAGCAGGAGGAGTTCTGTACGGCTTGCCAGGACGTGTCGGCGTTCCTCGCCTGGGTGGAGTCTTGAGTGAGGGTGCCTTAGGCGCTGGCTTCGCCTTTGGCTTGCTAGCAGCAGCAGCTTGTCCTCCCTGCTTCAACCACTCCTGATATTCCCGGCGACGGCGCTGGAGCTCATCTTCTTTGGGCTGTCCTCGTGGAGGAGTGTGGTGAAGAGGCAACTTTGGCTTACGGTTGGTCCGAGGGGGAGTTCGGGATGCTGCTCTCGCGGAATGACCGTTGTTCGAATGACTGCGGCGGGGGCGCGGCACGAGCGGTGGTGGTGGTGGTGGTGGGGCTGGCTGGAAGCGGCCACCTCGATTCCGGCGAAGATACTCGACGTCACTCAGTGTCATCTGTTCCAACGAGTAGTCGTCCAAGTCATCATAGCGATCCTCATCAGCTTGATGCGCAACCTCGAAGGTTGTCACATAGACGCAGGCAGCTTGGAATCTCCCATTGGCTCCTTGAATGGGAGGAGTGCTCCAGCGCCAGTGAACAGCCTCCGGCTCCGCTTTTCGAAAGTGTTTGTCACGGAAGAAACCTTCAGTCTGAAAGCCAAGATCAACAGGATGCTCCTGCCAACCACCGGTGACATCGTTCATGAATTCCTCCAAGTCGTTGCAGAATTCACTATCCATGATTGCGTTCCTGGCCATGACAAAGTCAGCTTGGCGGAGCTCCTTGGGAATTCTCCATTTGACGAGGAACTGTGATCCACAATGCCCACCGCAGTTCACGTGCTTTTGAATCACCCGGACGTCTTCGGGTCTCATGCCAGAGACAAGGATAAGGAGAAGGCTTGCACGCTTTCGCTTGGTTCGATACTTTGAATCCATGTCGTCGGACGTGAAAATTCGAAGCAACATTGTCGGAGCCATGAACTTGTCACATGTGACAACACGGGAAGTCACCATGGTTTCGCCAGGAGGGCAAGCCAAGGGGACTGCGGCAGCTGCTGCTTCCGCTGGTGCATCACCACCACCACCACCAACCACCGGGGCAGTCCGGGTTTTTTTGGCAGTTTTTTTGGTGGAGGTCTTCTTCTTCTTTACCGTCGCCATATCTGGATTGTATCCGGGAAGTCCTTCCGGTCGAAGACCTGCTTGGTTCAGAATACCGACTGCCTGTGCAAACGTGCTGGAAAGTCCTGTGGATGGTTAGACAACAACAACAAACAACAACAACAACAACAACAACAACAATCAACTTGCCGTTCCCAGTTATGAAATATGTATGGAGCTTATACGCCGTTGATTGGAAGTTGCGGCGAAGGTTGCGGCGCAAGTATTTCTTGTTTGCAAGCCACTGGACAATCCGGCCCTTGTCGACGCAGGTTTTAAAGTTGTTGGGATCGACTTCGTTGGGTTTCAGCAACAGCTTCGAAAGGTACACAGCGTCTGGTCCCTCTGGCTTCCAACCAAGCGGCTCTTCGTACACACCGTAGTCTTCCTCTTCTCCTGATGTGTAAACAACGTCTCCAGGATCGTCGCCGTCCTCCTGGACTTCCTCGAAGCTATCTTCGCTGTTGATGTGGTCGCTCTCTTCGTCGTCCATTATGAAACTTGTTTGTGGCTGTTTCTTCGAGGCTGGAGTTTGAATGGAACCGCCGATGTGCGTCGACCAGGTGCCCGGCATTCTCAAGTTTTGCGATGTATACCTATTCAAGCGACCAATGAATATATCAAGTAACTAGACTGATCATAAGCTAGAGTATGGATGAAATTTTCTGTTGTGCCGTGAATCAGCTCACCCGACAGTTGACCCCACGTGCGAGAGCTGATGGCCTTTGGCACGGATTGCAAAGTGGGGTTTTGGAAAAGAGTTCCGACAGACCACGATGGACCATGACTGACCACGGGTGACCACAGGTGACCACGGGTGACCACGGGTGACCACGGGTGACCACGAGTGACCACGAGTGACCACGACCTTTAAATCTTTTACTAGTAAATTAACCCGTATTTTCCCAAATTGACCACCAATGACCACGCTTGACCACCCTTGACCACGTGTGACCACGCTTGACCACCGACGACCACGACTGACCACTGACCACCATCAACAACCCCAAATCGCAACGAAGTCAAATACCCGTTGAAAAAGATCGAAGTTTTATAGTGAAGCTGTCAATCAACACCAGAGCAATGCCACAAAAGCGAAGAACCTCTTTGCTTGTTGCTTATTCTAGTTGCTAGCTCCTAGTTGCGAAGATGAAGTTTAGTACGGAGCAGCTTAGTGCTGCACTTGTTGTTGTCCTTCTAACAGTTGTTGCTGCATGTTACCTCTTGGATGTGGATGTGCCGAAGAAGAAGAAGAAGAAGAACTTCGACGGCAACGATCCTTCTGAATCGAGTGCTGCTACGGACGATACTCCCTTCCCCGTGGCAATAGACAAGGACATCCCACTCATGGCACCACCGCGTCCACCACAGTTTGCCAATCTCTTTACTCAAGCCGTCAACAACAAGAAACAAGAAACGAAACAGCTTGCTTCGTTGGCAAGCTTTACTTTACCCCACGGAATTGTTTTGACTGCTGCCCAAGGATCCGTTGTTGATTTCAAGAGTGACATGGGTGCCATTGTGACGCCGTGCAACGAACTTCTCGCACCAGCAGACGGCATCGACAAAGCTGTGCTCAGAGCCGGTGGTTTGAATCTCAGTAACGACCGGATGTCTCTTTCGAACCTTGCCAACAAGAGCAATCAGATGGTGAAATGCCCTACTGGTCGGGCTCGGATTGTTGGACCTAACTACAAGAAGTATGGTGAGCTCGGCGTTGACAACGTGATTCATGCTGTTGGGCCTGACTTCAACGAGTATACGGAGGAAAAGTCCAAGGCGATGAGTCGTTTGCGCAATGCGTACCGAAATGCATTGGCTCTCACGGACAATAGAGGTATCGCCCATGTCGCGGTTTCCTTGATTTCCGCTGGAAAGTTTCGCGGATTGATGGACTTGGAAAGCGTTGTCACCGTCGCTGTGCGGGCCATCCGTGATTGGGCTGCAGAGCCCCAGAGAATGCAGCGCTACTCTACTACAAAGAACATTGTTCTTTGTGCCAGCACCCGTAATGATGCCGATGTTCTTGTTGCTGTTTGCGACGCTCTCTTGATTGGAGAGTACAAGATTGCAATGAAATGAAACATGAGATATATTAATAGTGGTAGTGGTTTTAAAACATAAGCAAGGTATTGGATGGAAAGTTTCTAGCTAGCTACTCTAGAGCTGCCGTCGTTACGTCGCTGACTGCTCCGAGCGCCATGGCCATGTTTTTGTTGATCAGAAGTCATAAGATGGGTAAGCCAGAGGGACTGAGTCGTGAGACTTAACACGCACCTTTTGAAGGGTTAACGCGCACCTTTTGAAGGGTTAACGCATTAGCGAAATCCAACCGATCGATCTGACCCCATTAATCGCACAATACTCGCCTTCTAGCTTTCGAGAGGACAACACAACTGCTGTTTACAAGAGAAGATGACGACGTCGCCGTTTGATTTTGGCTCACAACTTGCAGGATGCCTGTTGATAAAAACGTCTTTGCCCTCCTTGGGCGGAACATTGTCGGTCGCAACGATGGAGGATTTCCCGTTGAAGACTACAGGTCGTTTTTTGGTTGCAGCGTGGATGTGACATTCGAAGCGTGGTGCTTTGCTTTGGGCGCTCATGTTCTTGAAGACCTATTCAAAGGAGAGGGTGCATTGCAAGCTGGCTGGTATTCGAAGCAGGCCTACCTTTCGAAAGTGGGTGAAATACGTCCTCCAGCGTTTGACTGCGTATTATCCGGAGCTGGTGAGTGGGTTGTTGCAATGATGCATTGGTGCCGCGGTCGATCTAACACGATGTGCTGTGCTCCAGGTTGATCTCGATCTCCGCTTCGAAGATGACCGTGGCAGGACTTGTCTGTTGTCGTTGGATGGAACGGATTACCGCATCAATGAGCCCATGGATGATGAAGAATTTGAGTACTACAAAGATGGAAAGCGCTTGCCATTCAACCCAAAATGGTATACGAAGAAGTTCAATGGCCCCGGTGTGCGGTATGAGATAGCAATCTGCATTCAGACGGGCAAAATCTGCTGGGCATATGGTCCCTTCCCCTGTGGCAAATGGTCTGATTCGAGAATCTTTCAGCACAATCTACAGCATCAGCTTGGAGAGAATGAGATGGTTGAAGCCGACGGAGGATATGCTGGTTTGCCTTTCGATGTACGCACTCCCAATGATAGCTTGAACGACGATGACAAGAGAGCCAAGGGGCAGGTCCGCGCCCGCCATGAGGCCATCAATCGCCGCCTCAAGCAGTGGGGAGTACTTGGCCAGAAGTTTCGCCATGAGCTGGGCTTCCACAAGACCTGCTTCCGTGCTGTGGTCATGATGACCCAGTTGTCCATCCTCGATGGCGAGGCTGTCACCTTTGGTGTTGACTATTAGGTTTAGTGGTAAACGTAGTGGTGGTGGTTATTGATGGTTTGTAGAGCCAGCTTTGACTAGACTAGACCATAGATAGCCGACAATGACCATGGGATGGGCCACCAAAATTGACCATTTCCTTCTTCCCAGCATCATCCCCATGCGAAGATTGAGCACCAGTGGAAGTTGAAGTGTGAAACAGATCGGATTTTTTGAAATGGTACATGTAACACCTGAATTACAAAGCGGTTCCCCTGTTCCCGCCGGACACGAATCGAATGATTCAAACGGAACGATGTACCAGGTACAGTATTCTAATTCCTTGGCTTCAATGGACACGCGCCCTCAGCAGCCTTCAAATTTCCGGGGGCTGCCGACTTCCAACCAGCACTTTGGTTGCTTGGACCCGATACCACGATCGAGGTAGACACCACCACAAGACCAAACACAAACATTGCTCGCTGCCCGATACGGAACCTTGGCTTCGACAGCCGCCCTTCAACCAATCGAGCAAGGACGTGTTTCTACCCATCTTGTAAACCCGCCCTCAGCCGATCGAGCAAAGTAGTTCTATCCAGCTTCTCCGAAGTCTAAGCGCAACACACTCAGCAAAAGCAAACATCGAGGCAACGCGACCCCACAATCCTAAGGATCGAAGCAGCGAGAGTGAACAAAAACGAGCTCAGCAATCAAACTCGGCCAATTCAATTATGAAGATCTTCTCAACTATATTAGAAGCCCTCAGCCATCATGCAACGGAAACTCCTGATAAGGTTGTATTTACCTGGGTAGACAACAAGTGTCACGAACAGAACAAGATAACATTCAAACAGCTGGAGGAAGCATCCAATGCTGTGGCGGCTCATCTCCTCAAGTTGGGATGCAAAAAGGGGGACCGCGTCATGGTGGCATATCCCTTTGGCCTCGAGTTCTTGGCTGGAATGTTTGGAGCCATGAAATTTGGAGTCATCCCTTGCTCTATCTATCCACCAAACCCCAATCAGCTCAAAACAGAAATGCCCAAATTCCGTGGACTTGCAGAGGATGCCGGAGCCAAGTACGCCCTCTCTACCAAAGCATTTGCCACTGTGATGGCTACATCGAGTATCCTTTATAAAACAGGTGTCAAGTGGATTGGGACCGACAGACTCCCTATCAAAAAGAAGCATTCAAATAAGCCAAATGCTTATGAGACATACATGGGAGAACCAAATGATATCTGTTTCATCCAGTACACTTCCGGCAGTACAGGTCGACCCAAAGGAGTCATGATCACTCACCACAACCTGGCAGAAAATTGCAGGGAAATTGGTGATTCAATCAACTTGACTCCAACTTCGTTGACTGCATCATGGGTACCTCAATATCATGGTATGTACCAGATAATCAATGAATGGCATGGCATGGTTGCATCTCTCAATATTCTAACACTCATTGCTGTACTCAACAATTATAGACATGGGACTTGTGGGTGGTTTTATGGCAACACTATATGCTGGTGACCAGCTTGTTATGTCTTCACCCCTCGACTTCCTGGCCAAACCGCTTCTTTGGGCTGATTTGATTGAGAAATACCAGGCAACTCATACCTGTGCCCCTAACTTTGCCTATGCACTGCTCCTTAAGCGATTGAAGCAAGCCAATAGGAAATACGATTGGAGCTGTGTTCAGTACGCCATGTTTGGTGCTGAACCTACACAGCAAAGTGTGGTGGAGGAAGTGGCTACAACCCTAGCTGTGAAGCCTGAGAATGTTTACAATCTCTATGGCCTTGCTGAGTCGGTGGTGTGGCTCACAGGAGGACCTGCAGTCCCAGACACCAAAGGCCTTGTGTGCTGTGGAAAGGTAGACTCCCCAACTTTAAAGCTTCGAATTGTCCAGGATGGAAAAGAGGCGGAGGAGGGACATGTTGGAACCATCTGGGTCCAGTCGCCCCGTGTTGCTGCTGGGTACTTTGGCCAGCCAGAGCTGACCAGATGCACATTTTCAAATGTCCTCCCCAATTATGATGGAACCTGGCTTGACACTGGTGATTTGGGCAAGGTGGTTGATGGGCAGCTCTATGTCACCGGCAGAGTCAAAGATGTCATCATCATCAATGGCAAGAATTACTACCCAACAGATGTGGAGCTTTCTGTTGATTCAACATTTGGTCATCTTGTGCGTCCAGGAAGAACAACTGCCTTTCAGTACAGAGAAGACAGTATTGGCATTACTGCTGAGCCGAGAAAGGATTTTGACAAGTCAGCTAACAAACATTTGGCTATTCAGATAGCTAACCATGTCTCCCAAGCACATGGGTTGTTTGTCTCGGAGGTTGTTGTTCTGAAACCAGGAGTGACTCCAAAGACAACATCAGGCAAACTGAAGAGGAGTGAGGTTCGGCAAACGACTGTTGCGAATGATTGGAAGACATCTTCTATGATCCTAAGGTTTCAGCGACATGATGGTGCCATTCCCTTGGAAAAGGAAGGGGTCGTCAAAAAAAGCTCTAAAGGGAACCTGATGGCACAGCCTTGCAGTGTTGTCACAGAGGCAACAGAGTTTGAATCTTCAGAACAGCTGAATCCAATTGAGTCCCACTTTACAACTTCGCCAAAGCACTTCCAAAGCTTGGTCATCTCCATCTTTGGTTCAGAGGTTGACACATCGAAGTCATGGGCTGAGAATGGAATGACATCACTCAAGAGCGTTGAGCTGAGGAACAGTGTGGAGGAGGAGTTCCATGTAGTGCTTCCCGTGAACTTTGAACAACTCTATACAACACCAGTGGAGCTCCATGAGTTCCTGGCTTCATCTGAGGGAAAGTGCTTTCCTAAGCAAAACAAGTACAACCAACCTGACTCTGACTGGAACTCATCCAGATCCAGGCTGGGCAAGGTGCAACTTGGAGTTATCCAAGCCCTTGGATCAACTCTGATCCTTCTCTTAGTCTTGCTTTCGGGTGTTCCATCCTACTTCCTAGTATCCTGGGTACTGGACCAATGTGCCTCAGCTGAAGATAGAGAGTGCCAGATAATTTGGGGTCTTATGCCCATGACCTTTCCTCTCTTTCTCCTATCATTCTCATTGGTTGTGGTGCTATTCAAGGTCTGTGTTGTTGGGAAATACCTACCAATGAAATTTGGACTCCTATCATGGGATTACATCCGTTGGTGGTATGTGGACAGACTTGTGGAAGTCTGGGAGTCTATTGTTGGACAATTCCTTCTAGAAACCAAGTTCATTTGGATCTTTTACCGGCTGCTTGGTGCTGACCTGGCTTGGTCGGCCAAGATTGAATCCTATGTCCGCGAATTTGACCTCGTAAAGGTGGACAGCAATGCAACGATTGCACATCCTTTGAAGTGCAGAAAATTCTCCCAGTCCTTAGAAGAGGCAAGCCCTAAGATGACATTCTATCCTATTGTTGTTGGAAAGAACTGCAAGGTCTCTGGCATGATTGGCCCTGGGGCCAAGATTGGAGATGGCAGCAAGGTGGAGAAGCTCTCTGCTGTTGAAGAGGGAGCCTTGGTACCAAATGGGGTCGTTGCTAGGGGAAACCCAGCTTATAACGCTGGCTCATTTAAGCAGCATCAAGAATCAAACGTCTTGGCAGAGTCAGTGTTAGATGTCTTCAAGATGGTCTGGGCAATCTCTGAGGCATACCATTTTTTTTCACTATCCTCCCTGGTCCATTTTACACTCAACAGCGTCCTGCCCTCATGGAGATATGGTGGCGTTCTTCATTGGCTTCTCTTGTTTCCATTGACATCCTTCCTTGCCCTCCTCACAAGCATTGCCCTCAAATGGATTCTGATTGGTAAACGAGATCCATCCGATGAATATGAAGGTTCACACTACCGTCGGGCAACAAATTGGGCTTGCGACTTCCACTTCCGTGTGGCTGCTTGGACTCTTGCTCCTTTCTTTGGCCAGTCTAGACTATGGACCATCATCCTTTACCTTCATGGTCTTGATGTTGATATTGAATCAAACCTCAACAACCCATACTTTATCTTCTTCCCTTCCAAGGTTGATTTTGTGAAGGTCCGCAAGTCATTTGTTGCAACCATTTCTCTTGACTTGACCGAACGCGGGGGCTCCAAGATTGAGATCATCAACAGCAGCGTTGGATATAATGTCAATGTCCATGCTGGTGTCAAAATAATGAAATCAAAGATCCCACCAAGATCAGATGTGTCTGACAGTGTGTACAACTTGAACCAATCCAGGAAGGCGCAGAAGCCTACCAGTTTGATTATGGATTTGTTCCTTCCTGAAGTGTTGCAGCTTCTTCTCAATGTGGTGATTTTTGCCTCTTTCATTCCTACTTATGAGATTGGCCTTGCTGCCACAGAAAGTTCTTCCATTGCCATTGCTGCGAGTGGGCTTGCTGCGGCCTTTGTCCTTCAATTGTTCCTGTGGGTTCTTTTGACCCGACTTGTTGAAAGGTTGCTGTTGATCCTTCCAGGTCGTGCTCAGCAGAGTTTCTTTGGCATCTACATCAACCATGTTTGGTTATTCAACGTGGGGAATTGGCTTGTTTTGCTTCTTTATGGAACACCCATGTTTGCCTACTATGCTCGCATGATGGGAGCTGAGGTGGATGGTGACCTCTGGTACTTTGGAAATGCTCTCTATGAGTACAGCAAGCTTCACTTCAAAGGCAGTGTCATTGTGGACAGCTCCAGCTTGAACGGTCATTACATTGATTGCAGTGGGCTCACCATTGATGATACTTATGTGTCAGGCCTGATTCATCCTGGATGCTTCGCTGTGGCTGGAGCAGCAGTCTCTGGGCCTGAAACTGGTCCATGGAAAGTATTCCTCAGAACTGATGACAACAAAGATTCTGTGGATGTTGAGTGGGGGAGTGAAGGTAGTTCCCAGGAAATCCTTGAGGGCTAAAGTGTTAGTGGGCAACCCTTTGAACCTTGATTTGGCTGGCTGGTGTTGTTTTGTGGTGCACTACAAAGTCAATACAAGTGATGTCTAATGAATCGCTAGTAGCCTTACTAACCAACTACCTCGCGAATCGTATGAACCAACCCATCCGCGCTTAGGTCATCCAGCAGTAGATAGTCCGCGTTGAGGCGCTGAGCCAGCTCTTTGCCGCGGCCGACCCGAACCATTCCTGTTTCGGTATCCAGAAACAGTGTAGGAATGGCAAGGTCGGCGAGTTGTGCCGCGGCCTGTTCTGTTTGCGCCCATGCATCGCCGCTGGTATCGGGTAGCGGCACATTTGCCTTGCCATCACTTAATACGATGAGTAGCATTGGCTGTTGTTCAGTTTGATGTCGGCCAAGACGGTGCACTGCTTCATGGGCGACCACCAACGCATGTGCCAGAGGTGTTCGCCCACCCGTGGGGAGACGCTTCAATTGTTGTTCCGCCAGTTCCACACTCCGTGTGGGTTCCAAAAGCACTTCGGCCTTTAATCCCCGAAAGGCAATGACACCCACAGAGTCTCGCTGTTGATATGCATCCGTGAGAAGAGCCAAGACTGCCCCCTTGACTGTTTCCATGCGCTGTCGGGCAGACATGGACCCCGATGCGTCCACCACGAACAGAATGAGGGTATCCGTGGTGGCATGGCGTACTTTTCGTCTCCAATTTTCGGGTTTGATAATCGTCGCGCCGGTATCCGGATCGAGACCATTGACGGCAGCTGCTCTGAGAGTTGCATCGAGGGCAATATCTTGTGGCTTGTCGGTTGGTACGGACCGGACGTAGTGCCCCTGCTTGTTCTGTTGCGAGTTTGTTACGGTATTGCGCCGACCTGTTCCTGGTTGACCTTGTTGTTTCTTGGCTAGTTTGATTCTTTTGATTTGTTCGGGTTTGCTAGCCTTAAATGTCTCCATCTGGTTGCCTTCACCATTCCTGTCATCGTTATCGTTATCCGTGTTCTTGTCCTGGTTGTTAGAAGACGATGACGGCGCTGACTCGGATGATCCGTATCCTGTACCTTCGCGATTATCATTTTGTTCTTGCGGTTGTGGTTGCTGCTGTTCTTGTTCTTGTTGATCCATATTATTCTTGTCGGGTGGACTATTGTCGTTGTTGTTGTGATTATTGATCAACTCTTCCAACATTTCCTCTGTTTGTTGCTTGGATTGCGGCGACTCGAAGGGTTTCTTGCGTTTGCGGTGCGGCAATACCCATTGGGCCGCTTGTTTAATATCGGCGGGAGCAACTTGCAGTCTGCCTTCCCAAGCTGCTAATGCGGTTGCCGTCTTGTAAAGCGTAATGTCAGCTCTGAGACTGTCCACGTGCATTTCGGTGCAAATGGTGCTAATGAGGAGCAGCAATTCATCTTTCAAAATGACTTTTGTAAGTCGTTCTTGGGCAGCAACCACCTGTTGCGTGAGTAATGTGGAAGACTGCTGCCATGCTTGTTGAAAGAGTGCAGGATCCCGTTCAAAAGTGATCCGTTGTCGGACCACCTCACATCGTTGCCTTGGATCTCGCGGAGCCTGCACATCCACCATGAGGCCAAAGCGATCCAAGAGTTGAGGTCTTAAATCGCCCTCTTCCGGGTTCATGGTCCCAATCAACATGAATTTCGCGTCATGCTTTAGAGTAATGCCTTCCCGTTGAATGGTATTGACTCCCATGGCTGCTGCATCCAACAGTACGTCGACTAAATGAGGCGGCAGCAGGTTGAC